ACTATAATCAGGTAAAAACATTTCCTATTAGTTTCCGGATACAAAACTGAAAATCTGAACTTCTCAAGAAAGGAAAAAACCTCTCATTGTCTGCTTTCCAGAAAAGAAATCTGAATAAAACCCTTTTGTACAGCTCTGCAGACACCCAGAGCAAAGAGAGAACATAATTGCCCAGCTTCATGACTTCACCGGGCCTCAAACTTATTTTTTTTCCTCCACGGCAAACAGATTACGAGTGTGGAGCTTCAAGCCTGATCGCTCCAAGGACCAAGCTGGCAACACGAAGCAAACCCCTCAGCACCAGGTTGCACTGAGAGCAGGGCAGTGCTCAAGTCTGATTTCAGTTATCCTCCCATTTGCTTGGCATTTCATTGGCAACTGCTGCCTTCTGGGATGAGCATTGTGATATTGTGAGGTATTTACCTTCCCGAGTCCCCTCTCCCATTTTGTAGGGCAGGACATGAAGCACAGATTCAGCAGATGCTGGCTCTCTTACAAAGCATGTAGTTGTGCCAGCTCTGAGCCTCAGTCTTCCCTGGGAATGCAGAGAGCCTGCGAGCATAGAGTGAAAAGCTCAAGCAGACACCATAGTAGTTAAATAAAACTTGGCACTTCAACAGCCACATTCAGGCTGAGATCTGAGGACACTTGACAGAGGAGGGCACAGACAAGTGTTTTCGTGTTTGCAAACGTTATGCTGTCACCCACCCAATTTCTGGAGATTCCTGAGCACAGCTGAAAACGAAAGAGCAGCTTCCTTTTAATGTCTGGCCAAAATGAGCCACATTGTAAAGCACCAGCCTCATCATCTCTGGAACATTTTGAGACTCTCTTCTCCAATGTACAAAATGGAGCAATAACAAGTGGGAAGGTGGTAACATGCTAGCCCTCAGGAGGAAGTTCTTGGTTAACCAAAATTCCGTAACAAGACTTTGGTAACGGGATATAAACTATGGCTGAGATTCTTCTCCTCCTCTTTTTTATCTTCAGTTCTCAACTTTTCAGCAGGTACCACTAGAAACACTATGCCAAATGTTCCAAAGGGATCATGTCTGGGTACATTCATTGCTAATACATGACTCTGGGGGCAAGAAGTGCGTTTACCTTGTGACTTATGCTGGCACAACATCCAGAACACCTATCTAATTATTAAGTATTAATAACGGTCTTTAATAGGCCCACAGAATCTTCCACAAGAGCAAGCCAGAAGCAAAGAGAAATTGCAATTAAAGGCTGCTGCTTTGTTGAAATGTCAGATGGAACAGTCCTAATTTTCATTATCAGGCAATAGCATATAATCTGGCTTTACAAAGATAAAATCGGATGTGGCTGTTCTTGTAGTTATGCCCTATAGAAGCTTCCTCATTTCTGCAACTGTCTGCACCATCGCTTAATGCTGAATATGCCTGTTCATCTGCGGCTTGCTATGGTAATATTCACCCCACAATCGTCCCTGTACTTCATGACATGTTTGAGCAGTCATGTGATACATTAGTATTCTGGGAAGACAGAAGTTTCTCTAAGACATGGACGTAGAAACTGGATGAAACTGCGAGAAGTTTACACAAGCTGCTGGATCTGGGTGCGCATCTTCTCCTCTTCTCCTGTTCAGTAGGGGTGTTCCTCACCCTCTGTCACAGGATTATGAAGAAATGAGGCATGAGGGACCACCGCACATTCTGAAGCCTGCAAGGGATGGCTCTCTGTTCAGGAGCACTCTGCAATGCTACAGGGAGCATACCTGGTTGCAGACTCTTCAGCCCTATATCAATCTGAGCTCAAGATGGTGCTTGAACCTGCCATCCTCATCAACCAGGTCACTAAGCGCAAAAAAAAAAAAAAAAAAAAAAAAAAGATTCAGAGAAAAAAGGAGAGCACCAATTCACATCTCCAAAGCCTGACAAGTTTGCTTACCTCTACCTCTACCTGCCAGATTAACAAGTTTAGCCAGAAGACTACTTCTTAGAGGACAGGCAGTACCAGCAGCACCTGAGCACATTTCAAGACTGTCACACTTGGAATACCAACCATTCCCAACCCTGGAGCACTGATTCAAACAGATGCCATGATTTAAACCCTACCCAAATAATCAGTTTGCCAACTTCTACTGCTGGCAGCTGAGCTGCTAAACCTCTGCACTGCTGCCTGTTCCTGCTAGGGCCTTCTCTCACAGCAGGAAGGAAGATGCCTTGGCCCTCAGCACATTTCACCAGATCTCATCTGTTTCTGGCATCTGTACCTTGGGCAGAGTGTCTCTCTATGCCATTGTGCTATTGCATGGAGGTGTGAACACTGAATGGAGTTAATTTATTATGTTTTTCATATGCAGTTATAGTTCACAATGTCTGTCTGGCCTGTATGCATGCAGAAAACTCCAGAAGGTTCAATCCCGGCCTCACTGAGCCTCTTGCAACTCTGGTGAATATTATTCTCCTCTAATAAATGAGACAAAAGAAACCCAAAAAAAAAAAAAAAAAAAAAAAGAGAGAGAGAGTAGACTTCTCTTATGGCAGCTATAAAGTCAGATGACCGAAAAAGATCAACTTCTACTGAAATCCCACCTTGGTTTGAGGGTCATGAGGTTCTCCAAAAACACATCCCTATTTATTTGGCTGCTTCTAAGCGAAGGTGATTAATTCACTTGAGGATTCCTAAATTTAGATACGTCAACTTTTTCTCCCAGTCTTTCCACACAACACGAGTGCAGTAATTCATTTCTGTAATGCGGAAGTGTCATGAACGTTAACCAACGTTTCAGAAGTTTTTGCAAATGGAACCTTCTAAGGACCAAGTTTTGAAGTTTAGTGGCATTTTTACTGTGTCCTTTTTAAAGGCACATTTGATGACTTTAAGGAGCTACCAAAATGATGTTCCTGAAGATCAAGGATGTGTCTTTAAAAAAGCTTCCTGCTTCTCTTCTGCATGCACAGCTCCCTCTGGGAGCTTTCTATCAGTTAGCAATCTTATATGAGCAGCGAAATAGCTATCTGCAAAGGACAAAATTTGTCCACAGTGGACTTGAGTGTTTTAATGGCTATGTTTCCTTCTCGGTGTTAGTTAGGGGGAAACAGCACATTGAATTCAATGCCTTGAGGAAAGTGGGTGGGAGGGAGGCCTCATGACAAAGTGAAGTCCCATACAATTGAGCGTGTGTGAGGGACAGCTTCAAGACAGACAATGAGACACTCCACAGTTTAAAATAATAATCATCACAGGGTGTGTTTTTCTGATTTTTCCCCCAGCAAGAGAATCCACATTCCTCCATATCACATTTTTATGCATCGTCACGATACTAACCCACACTGCTCTATCAGATGCAGTTCACGGAGATTATACCACATTCCACTTATTTTATATAGGCTTTACAGACTTAAGCCCAGTGGCAATAGATGGTGACTGCTGGTGGAGCAACAAAGATGATTAAGGGGCTGGAGCATCTATCTTACGAGGAAAGACCAAGCAAGCTGGACCTGTTTAGCCTAGAGAACACTGAGAGGAGATTTGATCAACATGTTCAAGTACCTGAGGGGAGAATGTAGGGAGGATGGAGCCAAACTCTTTTCGGTGGTGGCCAGTGATAGGACAAGGGGTAATGGGGACAAACTGAAACACAGGCAGTTCCACCTCCATGTGAGGAAGAACTTCCTGACAGTGAGGGTGACAGAGCCCTGGCACAGGCTGCCCAGAGAGGCTGTGGAGTCTCCTTCTCTGGAGATCTTCCAAACCCGCCTGGATGCCACCCTGTGCCACGTGCTCTGGGTGTCCCTGCTGGAGCAGGGGGCTGGACTAGGTGATCTCCAGAGGTGCCCACAACCTGAACCATTCTGTGATTCTGTGAAACCCCTCTCCCCTCAGAGCGGCATGGTTCTCACTGCACTTCTCCACGTGAGCTTGTCTGCAGAAAGCAGCGCTAAGGAATTTCTTACTGGGAAGAGAGATTTGCTGCCCTTTTCTGCCTTATTTCTGCACCGGCTCTGCGAAGTTTTGTTGTGCCCAGGTTTTTTGGGAGTGAGTTTTGAAGGCAATCAGGGTTCCTGCTTTGCTCTATCCCACCTGGAAACAGGTTTTAAAGCACATTGCTCTTGGCTGACAGGGAATTCCCTTCTTGCCTGCCACCCTGCGAACCGGCCTTTACAGCTGCACTTCTTGCAAAGGAGCACAGGGAAAAGTGAAGGGACAGCCTCACAAGTGCTGCACACGGGCAGGCAAAGTCATGTCTGAAAGGGCCAGGCCAAGCAGGCATCTGCAGTGGTGCACACCAGCAACAGCTGGTCCAAAAAGCAGGGAAAAGGACCAAGCAGTGGCACAGAAAGGTTGGAAAACACAACCAAGAAGTGGTTGTGTTTGTACCGCTGTAATAAACCACTCGTTAAATAAACTCACAACTTAAAAGATATTGTTCCCAATAAGAACTTCCACCTTAGGAAATACCCAACATAAATCCCATAAAATCCAATAAATCCCATAGCTTTCTAGAAGCTGTCTTAAAAACCTGAGGGACTATCATCAGACCTTAGAAGATATTCTTGTAACAAGGAAACACAAACAGTACTCCTCCCCAGGCAAACTCTCTCTACTTCAGTATGTGTGAAGGGAAGATCCTCCTAAAGCACAAGATAAGAAAAAATGTAAACAAAAAACATCTTCATGGCCAAGTCCATTTGTTGCTAAAGTTGAAATTATTTACTCCTTTGTGGACTATCCCTGAGCCTAGCAGACCGTTCCCAAGAAAGGAGCTACAGGAGATGCCTGGTGTGTCACCAGTCCTGATTATTAATTTTGGTATCTGTGCTGGGAGTAAAGCACAGCTTATGTAAGCAAATGCCTTTGGGCTGTGGAAAGCCTCGACCCGAAACGAACTGATATTCCTCATTTTGGTACTCATAGTTTTGGTGCCGGCCAGAAAAAGAAAAAAGGAAAAGAAAAAAAAAAGGACTGATTTTTCCCATCTGATGTTTCCCTGCCTTGTAACTTTTGAAAAATCTCAGCTCTTTATAAACAATCTTATATAAATTTACGTAAATTCATATAACTAAACAAATATATATATAGTATATAAATAATGGCCCGCCCCAGCCCTTTCAGTTCCAGTAAAGGGCACTACACCACAACGCCTCAGAGCAACATGAGGCTCTGCAAAGGGGGCGGAGGAGCAGGAGGAAAGCCGCGCGGCTCCGCGTACGCACAGAGGGCGCCTCCGCAAACACTTCCTGCTCATCGTTACACAGCACTTTTTCCCGAAGTCACAGGGTTTGG